CTTACTATTTTTGAGTATTTTTTTGGTTACCGTATTTATTTATTTAGAGACAGAGTTTCACTTTGTCACCCAGGCTGGAGTGCAGTGGCGCGATCTCTGCTCACTGTAATCTCTGCCTCCTGGGTTCAAGTGATTCTCCTGCCTCAGCCTCCTGGGTAGGTGGAATTATAGGCAAGCACCACCACGCCTGGCTAATTTTTGTACTTTTAATAGAGACGGGCGTTTCCCATGTTGGCCAGGATGGTCTTGAACTCCTGACCTCAAGTGATCCACCTGCCTTGGCCTCCTCCCAAAGTGCTGGGATTACAGGTGTGAGCCACCGCGCCCGGCCCACTATTACTATTATTCCTAGCATCACTTCATTGGAAGCTAAATTCTTGTTTGCATTTGTAATACTAAATATTTAACTTGTAAGAAAACTTTTAAATCAAGAATTCTTTTTTTATTCTTGGTCCTATCAGAACACTTGCAACAAGAAAATTAGCAAGTAAACTGATTGCCATATGTTACCATTTGGATAAACTAGGCAAAGTGTACAAGGGACCTCTATGTATTATTTGTTACAACTGCATGCGAATCTGTACCTATCTCAACACAAATTTCAACTAAAAAAGTAAACTAGAATAAGAAGGGCAAGTTTAAAATAGGAAAAATGTAAGCATCTCTCAGAGGCTTGATATTCTTCTGGTTCAACTACAAGAATTCCAGGATAGAACACAATTAACACTATACAACAAACCAAACCGAAGATTGAAAACACATACATATTCGTTTGTTGGGTTATAACAAAAGCTGATTTTACAACAAATGATTATCCCAAGAAAGAAAATGGTTATTCCTCACCATAGAGCTTTTATATGAGCATGCACAGTTTATTTCTGACTACATTACTCATCTAAAAAAGTAAAACTGCGCCGGGCACGGTGGCTCAAGCCTGTAATCCCAGCACTTTGGGAGGCTGAGGCGGGTGGATCACGAGGTCAAGAGATCGAGACCATCCTGGTCAACATGGTGAAACCCCGTCTCTACTAAAGATATAAAAAATTAGCTGGGCATGGTGGCACGTGCCTGTAATCCCAGCTACTCAGGAGGCTGAGGCAGGAGAATTGCTTGAACCCAGGAGGCGGAGGTTGCGGTAAGCCGAGATCGTGCCATTGCACTCCAGCCTGGATAACAAGAGCGAAATTCTGTCTCAAAAAAAAAAAAAAAAAAAAAAAAAGAAGTAGTAAAACTTCATGTGCCTCCTTTGTTAGCTCAAAATGTTGTTACTTGGCTGGGTGTGGTGGTTCACACCTATAATCCCAGCACATTGGGTGGCTGAGGTGGGAAGATTGCTTGAGCTCAGTACTTTGAGATCAGCCTGAGCAACAAAGTGAGACCTCGTCTCTACAAAGTCAACAATCTAGCGGAGGGCAGTGGTGCATGCCTGTAATCTCAGCTACTTGGGAGGCTGAGGCGGGAGGACTGCTTGAGTCTGGGAGATCAAGGCTGCAGTCAGCCATGGTAGTGCCACGGCACGCCACCCTGGGTGACAGAGCCATGCTACATCTCAAAAAACAAAAACAAAAACAAAATGATGTTACTTGTAATTTATGGTGTCATATGAAAGGCATGTCATTGTGTCTGTGAAGAATCAGCATGTCTCTCACCTATGCAACAGCTTTGATGCAAAGAAGCATATTCTCTTCTGAGAAAAACGAGAGGTCAGAAGAAAAGGTAGGGCTTGATGTAATGCAAGAGAAAAGATGTGATATAAGTGATTTTGTACTGATAATCAGAGAGGACAAGAATAGAAAGCCCTTCTAATTCTTTTCTGCCTGAGGGTAAGGTAGGGGTCACTGGTTAATTCAAACCATCCTCTGAGGGAGAGAAGGGGATGAAAATCCCATAGAGTAAACAAAACCATGTGAGGGATACATACCCTCATTTTACCTGCTCTTCAAGATGCTGTGGTGACAGCCTTGCTTAAGTTTACTTTTTTTGAGATGGAGTCTTGCTCTGTTGCCCAGGCTGGAGTGCAGTGGTGCAATCTCAGCTCACTGCAACCTCCACCTCCCAGGTTCAAGTGATTCTTCCGCCTCAGCCTCATGAGTAGCTGGGACTACAGGCATGCGCTACCACACCTGGCTAATTTTTGTACTCTTAGTAGAGACAGGGTTTCACCATATTGGCTACGCTGGTCTCTAATTTCTGACCTTGTAATCTGCCCGCCTAGGCATCTCAAAGTGCTGGGATTACAGGTGTGGGCCACGGCGCCTGGATCATTTATTTTTATTATTTATTTTTTTGAGATGGAGTCTCACTCTGATGCCTAGGCTGGAGTGCTGTGGCAGGATCCTGGCTTACTGCAGCCTCCGCCCCCCCAGTTCAAGCAATTCTCCTGCCTAAGCCTCCCTAACAGCTGGGATTATAGATATCCACCAAAAACGCCCAGCTGATTTTTGTATTTTTCAGTAGGTACAGTTTCATCATCTTTGCCAGGCTGGTCTCAAATTCCTGACCTCAAGTGATCTGCCCATCTTGGCCTCCTAAAGTGCTGGGATTACAGGCATGAGCCACCCTGCCCAGCCAGTTTTTTATTTTTTGTGGAGATGGGGTCTCACTTTGAGAGTCAGGCTGGTGTCTAACTCCTGGCTTCCAGTGATCCTCCCACCTTAGCTTCCCGAAGTGCTGAGATTACAGGCATGACCCATCACTTACGGCTTTTTTTAAATGGAGGAAATTTTAAAATAAAGAAAAACACAAGAGCTTTTGATTAATAATATCTCTAGAATATGCTGTTCCCACTTATCAGAGTAGAGGCCAAATCATACTTGAGCATTTACATAACAAAGGTTTTTAATAGCCTCAAACACACGATAGTTATTAAGATTAGAAATTGTTTATAAAAATTATAAAATATCTTTGGCATATGCTTTTTTAATTATATCAGATTTGCAGCATAAAGAAGAGCATATAATTCCCATGTTTGAATACTTTCATGTTGTTATATGGGTAATTTCACTAAAAGTGGGGAAATGTAAAATAAAACAACACTCTAGGGGATTGGAAGTATTAGCTTAAGTATAATGCACATGACCTTCAATTTTAAAATTCCACCTCTATAAAACTGTCCTACAGATATATAAGCATGTCCCCTGTAACCCTAGCACTTTGGGAGGCCGAAGCAGGAGGATCACTTGAGCCCAGGAGTTTGAGACCAGCCTGGGCAAAACCCATCTATAGTGGGGGTAAAAAAGAGAGGGAGAAGGGGAGAGGGCGGGAGGGGGAGAGGGGGAAAGGGGAAGAGGGGAAGAGGGGAAGGGGGGAGAGGGGGACAGGGGGAAAGGGGGAGAGGGAGAGAGGGAGAAAATCAAGTGTTTAAACATCAACATGAGTTTTAATAGAGAAAAATTAAAAGTACCAAGGTCTACAAATAAAGAAACTTAAATTTCAATATTTTTTACTCTTTGGACGTTATAAGGAAGTGACAAGAATGAGGAAAATATACACAGAAGTCACTGACACATTTTTCAGTTTTAAAAAAAGAACAAGGAACAACTAGATAATATATGTTAAGATGCCACATTATTTGGAAGCACACGTATATGTATTACTAAACTGTTAATAATGATTACTTCTAAACTCAGAGGTGCATAAAGTGGGAGTCTTTTACACACTATACTCCCATACTTAGACTTAATAATGGACACATTACAAATTTTAAAAGTACTGGTAGAAAAAAAAAAATTAACCTACAGATCCAGATCCAAAATTATAGGAGCTATTAAGCCATAAGTTTGAGTTCCTTCTGCCTTTGGGGCTTCAAGATTCATGGTCTCATTTCCAAGAAACTCCTTCCTGTACCACTGCTCAGATGGCAGGTAGTGATGGAAGCAGCTATTCTACAATTATACTATAGGTACAAGAACTCTGGCAGACATTCAGAGGCACAAAGGATTCCGTTCCTGACATTCTGATGACGTAAGCCATTATCACAGGGTCCAGAGAGGATGGCAGACTGGGGTTGGGCTAAGTGTCTGACATAGTATCCCATCATGAACAGTTACGCGTGCTTCTCATCCTTTTTAAACCTTCAAAAGAGAGTTAGCTGACAATTGTCACAGCCTTTTTCTTATTTTTCTTCTCCAGTAGAAGAATATTTTCAATAGCATTAACGTTTTTAAAAACTCCTAACAAAATTTAAAAAACTTAATTAAAAGTGGCTACGAACTTGCCTGTTACTATGAGACCCCCGCAACTCTCTTCCTCCCTAGTGGTAAACTCTATATTGGACAGAGAAGAAAAATACAATGCAACATAACTGTAGGATCAGACAGGTTAGGTCCAAGACACTTACTAAAAGCCTCACTTACATGTTCATGTATGCACTCAAAATATTTCGTCTAAATAGCTTGGGAAGAAACTAACACTGCGGTCTCCCAACTCCCAGACTGACAATATTCTGTCCACTATACTATAGTATGCTATGTCCCAGAAATTGAACACAGCTAAAAAGACAGACTTAAAATATAGAGACTCAAAGAAAACACTAAATAATCTAATTCTGGATTGGTTTATAGATTTGTTTAAAGGTTTAGAAAAAAAAGAATATAAGCCCTTATAGCAACAGTTTTTATTCACTGTGCAGTGACATGAATTCATGTATACCATTGCTCTTGTTATGAATTTTCCTGTTTTATGATTCATTCATCTGATACTGCCACCCTACTACAGTGATTACAGCACTACTCACTTAGGGTCCTATGACAGGAGGAGTGAGAAAGGAAAGCTGTACATATAGGTGATCTAAAAGATTATGCTGTCAGCATACAGCTAAAAACTAAACTTCTTTTGCTTTGTCTTGAAACAAACTTCTTGGTCAGAGATATGACCAGAGGCTGTGGGCTGCCATGCTAACCTTCAACATGGCAGACAACACTGTTTTGTGAGCTCAGGCACTGGCTATCAAAGGCGTCCTTTGTTTCTGCCCCTGGTTTCCACTTCTCTCAGAGCCTTACCTGGGATAGTACGCTGTGTAGTTCATGAAGAGCTGAGTGCCTGCTGGGTAGTACGCTGTGGAGGGCTGCAGTGCTCGTGGATTCAGAATCACAGAGGGTTGATAAATAGCTTCTGTAGGAATAACTGCAGCAGGAGCTGGAAATGTGTAGGAGGGAGGAGACAGGCCTGGATAAGCAAAGAGAGAGCGTTTGAGCCATGTTTGTAACGGTCGACATGTGCGTGCTAGCGCTAAAACCAGTGTCACTGTTCCATCTACACATTTTAAAGAAAGAGACCACAGTTCTTTATGCCATCCCAAGCAGTTTCTTTTTGATTATATAATTAACACATAGAAGTAATCCCGAACACCACCACCTGCCAACCTAAAAAAGAGTTCTTAGCCTGAAATTCGGAAAAACGAACATCAAGTGGATTTTCATGTCTCCTCAACCGTTTCACAATACCGTGTTTTCCCTCATGCTGAGTGCCAGTTACTACAAACCAACTCTCAGAGCAAAGAAACATGGAACTGACATTTAGAATAAGTTTCAAACTAGAGGCTACTAGGTATTTTAAATTTCAAATTATGCTTCTACTCCATCTTGTTATCTACCCGCCAGTACAGCATCAAATGAAAAGTGTTGTGATAAACCTCTCTTGGCCACAACCGTGTCCTAGATCAAAGCATAGACTGTGCCAGAAGGAACTGACTGAAAAGGAATGAGTAGATCAACTCTGCATTATTCTCACCTAAAGGCAACCCACATGCTGGGCTTGGAGGCTAATTTTTATTTTCAGACCTTTAAAAAGAAAACAATGCAACCTGGGAAATAGTCCCCAAAGAAATGGTGCCTAAGTTTTCCAGGGAGTCAACTCATAAAAAGCTGGCCCAGATTAAATTAAAAATTGGGCCCTAACTCCTTTGTCTTTTGGTCATCCAGTGTCTTCCAGGTTTGGAAACAGAAGACCAGTGGGTGATCACTAGCTTTCACTTGCGGGATGAATACAACTATCTGGGCCATCTATACCCAATAGAAGAGTTAGGTTGCAATGCTGAATGAATATGGGTTCCCTGACTTTAAGCTTCATACCTAGAATCACCATATTCTGCAAACAGCAGAGGCCCAAGGGGTAACTTTTTCCCATGAAAATCTCCAAGCTGACTTCAAATTGTCTTTTACTTTTTATTTTTTTTTTTGAGATGGAGTTTCGCTCTTGTTACCCAGGGTGGAGTGCAATGGCGCGATCTCGGCTCACCGCAACCTCCGCCTCCTGGGTTCAGGCAATTCTCCTGCCTCAGCCTCCTGAGTAGCTGGGATTACAGGCACGCACCACCACGCCCAGCTAATTTTTTGTATTTTTAGTAGAGACAGGGTTTCACCATGTTGACCAGGATGGTCTTGATCTCTTGACCTCGTGATCCACCCGCCTCAGCTTCCCAAAGTGCTGGGATTACAGGCGTGAGCCACCGCGCCCGGCCAAATTGTCTTTTATTCATACATTCCCATGGAGATGAATAAGACAGCAAGCTAAACATGGGCATATAGACCAAAGACAAACATACTGATCTCATATTTAACTTGGGTGCCTCTTCCATACTCATCAAAAACTGTGCTAAATGTTAGTTAAACTTTTAAACTGTAATCCCTGGACTTGAAGAACCAAAAGAAAGACCACCAAAATGAGGCACCTAAGTCTTACAGAAAGTTATACAGCCTGTGCTCATATTCGGATTTCAAAATTATCAAGCAATTCATTACAGGAGAGTGACTCATACCAATAAGACAAACGCACATAGTAGGTAGTCTGTTCAGCTTCAAAACAAAGAAAGGTAGAAATTTTTGATAATCAAGTGGATTGGGTTGAGATAAGATATTTTAAGTATTCTTCAAACAAAAGGCTAGCTTTTCTTTTTTTTTTTTTTGGAGACAGAATCTTCCTCTGTCACCCAGGCTGGAGTGCAGTGGCATGATTTCAGCTCACTGCAACCTTTGCCTCCCACATTCAAGCAATTCTCCTGCCTCAGTAGCTGTGATTACAGGCACACCACCACTCTTGGCTAATTTTTTGTATTTTTAGTAGAGATGGGGTTTCACCTTGTTGGCCAGGCTGGTCTCAAACTCCTGACCTCAGGTGATCTACCTGCCTCTGCCTCCTAAAGTGATGGATTACAGGCATAAGCCACTGTGCCCAGTCAAGGATAGCTGCTCTTATATATCTAAAGGAGAGTAGCATATATGCACAGACTACGAACATGAAGTTAATCATAAAATGTTCCTTCTTAATAAAGTAAGGTAACAAACTTTAAAATATCAAAAAGACTTTGGTAACTTTTTTTTTTTTTTTTTTGGTCAAATTTAACAAGAAACTCTTCAGTGGGGAATGATAACTACTTAACTGCTTTAGTACTTGAGATTAGATTTAAAAAAAAAATATCCAATTTCTGGGCCAGGCACAGTGGCTCACACCTGTAATCCTAGCACTTTGGGAGGCCGAGGCAGGCGGATCATGAGGTCAGGAGTTTGAGACCAGCCTGGCCAACATAGTGAAACCCCATCTCTACTAAAAATACAAAATTAGTTGGGCGTGGTGGCACGAACCTGTAGTCCCAGCTACTCTGGAGGCTGAGGCAGGAGAATCACTTGAACCTGGGAGGTCAAGGTTGCAGTGAGCCAAGATCGTGCCACTGTACTCTAGCCTGGGCAACAGAGTGAGATTCCATCTTTTTTTTTTTTTTTTAAGCAATTTCTGTAAGTTTTATGGGTATTGTATAACTAACTAGGCAACCACCTAAAGTGTATTGGCATAAAAAAAAAAAGTCCAATAGAACAGGTATTAGTTATGTAAAAATTGAAATTTTGTTTAAAAACTAAACTCTTCTACTAAAAAGAAAATGGCTAAATGTTTGTCATCATTTTTGTTAAGTATTAAAGGTAATCAAAGGTATAGAATTATATTCTTACGTGAATTTTCTTTTGGAGATATATAAGATCTCTTAACCCAATTATAAATTTCCAAAATTTCATACTCATTAATGATTAAGATATTCACCAACAGCAAGCAGCAGGTAAATGAAATATTAGCATTTAGAAATTCAAAAGAAATAAAAGGATTAAGCCCCACTGAATGTTCTACAAATAATACTTTAGCAAACAAAGTTATTAGTATAGGTCCATCTTATCAGAAAGTGAGGTGCCCAAACCCCGACTTCATTGGAATCGAGCATATAATCCAGTTTACTTTCTTAGAACTTCATGCCAAATACTGTATACTTTAAACATACCCAACAGGCCTAAGAAGGTATATCTTACTTAAAGGAGAAATTGTGTGAAAGACTCAAATTTTAACATCAGATCCCTGTATGTTCCTCATTCACTAATTACAACTTGGTCTCTAGACTACAGGGCTTATTCCCCTCAAACAGGATTCCAGATGGCTTGCACCCAGGTGCCAATGAGCAAGAGCATGGCTTGAAATTAAGCACTGATCCTGTGATCCAATGGAAACTTTGGCTAATTCATTTATGCATTTATTTTTATTTTTTGGCTAACTTGCTCATTCCAGACATGCTGGAGAGCAATAGAAATGCTCAACAATGTTCAAAAAATTCCTGATGCTCAAAACGTTAAATGCAACATGTGCATCACACTGCCCTTCTTAAAGGTCAGTATGTTTTAAAAAAGAAAAAGAATCCAGCCATACTTATTTATAAATGCATACTAAAATATCTATATAGCCAGGTTGCCTCTCAGAGTCAGTGCTTATCTGGAGCACACTAAGCTTCAGAAATTAAGTGCTTATCATTGGAAAAGCAGGAATATAATTTGAAAGGAAGTTTTTGTAGCATCTCTAATTATGGGTGTCCACAACCAAGGTCTTAAATGATTACCACATATTACCGATTACAGATGGGAGAGCCTTACATAACCATCTCACCTGCCTCAGAAAGAACCAGGGGCACAGAAAGTTATGAAAGCAGCTTAAGCACCTACCAGCATATAGCGTAGAGTAGCGCCAAGACCCAAGAAAAACTTACATGGTAACTTACATGGCGGTGGGGATAAGCCATTTCGATTTAAAGTGCCCCCCATTAACACAAAGTTCATCTCCTCAGCTGAACACTGAAAGACTTCAACATATCTGTCCTTCATGGTTTTTTTATGACACTTCTGTGCAGCCATAAATGCTCTGTCCGCAGACTTCATCTGGATAAAGGCATCTCCTGACGGGCGGCCCTGAGTGTGTGGGGGAAGAATGAAAACAAAAGGAGACTGTCTCCTTCAACAAGGAAATGGTTGCTTACAAAACATGCAAAGTAACAATCACCCACAATACAGACATTTTAGCCATAAAATCCGGGTGACGGTGTGATCTGCTGAAACCTGAACTAACATTTAATCACCTGATCACCAGAATGGCCAACAAAACCTTTTTAAGAAACAGTTTTGAGAGCTTATAGCTGAAAATGAGGCTTTTTCATTTCTGTTAATTAGTATCAGATGTACAAGGTCTTAAAAGGGTCTCCTTATGACTGTGTTTTCAAAATATATGATGGTATATTAGTTTTTCTTCTCTTCTAAAAAATTTAATTAAATCTCATTCGATTGAGAAAAGCCAGTAACAGAACCAGCACTGGAGCTTTAGGTACCCTCCTACAGGAAACTGAACAAACCAGCGTTCTCTCTCGGCTCTCAGTTCCGGTCCCTCACTGACATGGCATATCCCTTTCACTCTTTCCTCATCTCCGAGGCCTAGATTGGAACGTGGCCTGGGAGCAAGGAATTTGGCAACTGCAAGGCCCAGTAATGGTTGTATCATCAGCTTTGCTTGGGAGCCCTTCTCTCACCTCCTTTCTGACAGCACCACCTTGGTCAAACAGGTGCTACTAATAAACACTTTCTATTGGTAATAGCTTGCTAAAATCTCCTACTTCAAAGCAAACCTGTAGATTTCTGTTTCACAGAGCTAAAACACCTAGTTTTATGGAGCATGAGGGGAGAAAAAGACACAATCAGCTTATAGGACTCCTTTCTTATTTTACGGTTTTTTCAAAAAGTCTCTTAAGGACTGTGAAATTATACCATGCAAGTTACCATTAGAGTTACCATACCAGGGAAACTAGCAACAAACCCAGTCCAAGATGGAAACCTAATATCTTTAAGGCAGCTAAGAGCATGTCCATCATCTGAGAACCTTTTCCCAAGTGTAATCACAATAGGTCACATGGGTCAAAGAGAGACAAATCTGTCTACTGCTGTTAATCAAAGAGTAATGGCCCTGGGTTATTAGGAGTGGTGACTCAGTAAAGAAACCAAATAATTCCCTGGTCATGCTTAAATGTGGGCAATTTTATTTAAAGTGAAGCATGCCGAGAGGCTCAGATAAAAGTTGTATAATATTAATATTGACTGAAGATTTAGAATGAGCATGCGCTGACGTAGAAAACTGGTATAGAAGGCAAGGGCTCAGGATGTTTTCGGATTCCTCGTATCCAATGGTATATGCTTTCTAGTGAGACAAGATTACGGTTATGAAAGTGAACAAATCGCCAAGTGAAAAGAAAATGTGAGAAATTAGCAATTCAGGGAAAAAAAATCAGTATTTTCAATATAAGCCTATATTCAACCCTTAATCCTCAGAAAGCATTTTCAAAAATTAATACAGCTTTGCATTTAATAAAGAGTTCTAAAGTTTCAATTAGAACGACCTGGCTTATGGGTTTGTAGAATTTTATCCTGCTTATGACAGCACAAAATACTGTTAAATTTTCCAGCAAATATAATTTTCTTTAACCAGAAAACAGGTGACAATAATCCAGGAAATACTTTATATTTGTATACTGAAGAATTCAGTTAGATTTTGATGCAGGCTTCTCAGCAATTCTTTCACTAATACATTTGAGAGCCTATTATGACCCACACATACTGTTCTTTATAGGTGGTGTGAATATTAAGTCCTCACTGACTTTGCTTCCTACTGAATGCAATTTGATATCTAACATGTATATATTAAACATGACACAAGCCATTTCTAAACAGTCTATGGATACAAAATATTCTGGAACACAGATATACTTGTTTGTTAAAATATCATCCACGATTGTTGTAATACCATAGCAGAGCTGCCAAGCTGAATAGCTGCAGTAAGAAAAATTGTATCAAGACTGATAATATATGTGATGCCTACTTGATGCTATTGATAATGTGATGGATCTATGCGATGAAGGAATCAAAGCTGAATTTGAATTATTATACTAATGACAGTATTACTTTCAGTTCATTCTGAAGACTTCTTATATTTACAGTTAAGTTTTTCCTTAAATACTCAGTATGTAACTGAGGACTATGTACCTTTTCTTTTTCCTTCTCTTTAGCCAAATGTCACTACACAGTGACTATGTGCTTTTTAATTAGATGTAAGTAATTTATCTAAGACTAATTTTATCTATCAAACAGTAATATCTAACATTAGTCTTTGATAATGAGAAAAAGGGAGTAAGTTTTCCACTAAGTGTCTTTCTTACCTGGTGATTCAAAACCATGTGAACCCCATGAGTACGAATATCTGTGGCGAACTCCCCCAGGAAATCCAGGATGTCCTCAATTGTGGCTGCATAGGGAAGACCTCGAAGACGTATACAGTCTCTAACATTTGTAGGGGGCACAAATTGCTGAGGTAGTACTGGAATAATGGGAGGGGTTGGAAGTGGAATGAGAGGGGCCGAGGAGAATCGATTCAGCACCTGTACTCAAAGCAAAACAGAAGTGATTTAGAGCTATGCTACTCCCCTGCTTTCTGCAGATCAGCAATGGCATCACTGGGAAGCTCGTGAGAAATGCAGTGTCCAGCTCCACCCCAAACCTAATAAATATGAATCTTCATTTGAACTAAATCTTCAAGTGATTCAGAAGTACATGCAAGTTTGAGAAGTAATGATGGAGAAAGGGATTCATGCATTTCAGCAGGGAAAGCATGATACTCATTTTTTGTCAAATACATGATGGGGTGTACACCACAGACAGCACAAAACACTTAAACACTTAGTGTCTACCTGGAACAATGTATCACTATCTACCGAGGGACCAGTATCCCTAAAATCTGCTGCTTTTTTACAATTCTGGACATATCAGTATATGTGAACTTTGGTAGCAATTCATTAGATATAATTTCACTAAATACGTGGTATTCCCCTCACTACCTTCATACTCCACCTCCAAACCCAAGAAATAGAGAATGATCCAGTAAAGGAATCACAGGGCAAACAATGACTTTGGATATTAAAATATAATGCTAAATAACAGCACAAGACAGAATGGCTGGATATAAAGAACTGGAAAGAATCATTTGGTGACCATAAAGATGAATAGTAATTTAGTTTCCAAGTGAATTTGAGACAGTGGTAGGACAGAAGATCTTGAATATCTTCTAGATTCATGGAATTCAGCTATCTTGGACATGGATGATGATAGGTCAGGTGGATTTTGGACAAAAGACTGCCCTTAGGCAACACTTATATTATAAGGCTCTTGTCCACTTTTGTCTTAGAGCATGCCAACTAGTTCATAATACTAGAAGTCCTTAGGCAAATGCCGTCTGTGGTGTCTGCAGGTTTTATGAGCAATTTAATCACTGTAGCCTTTAAGATCCCATAAACTGACAATATAGAAAAATCAATAACCCCTCCCCAAAACATGCACTAACTTCCCCATTCACACCCTGCTCAGTTGCTATCTGAGGAAGAGGGGACAAAAATCAAACAGCACCACCAGAGAGATGCCATGAGAGATAGGAAGACATTAATAATAAAAAATTATACAAACAATCCAGACACAGCAAAAGCATTAGAAGAACAAGAACAGAAAATTAGTGTAAGGACAGACAATCTCAGGACAGGAAATGGGGAAGAATCTCATAATAGCTGCCACTTAAGAGGTGCTTAAATATTTATTGAATAAAATGATGAACACAGTGGAAGAATCTATGACTAGTTCAAAACTTGTTAAATAAATCAGGAGAGATGGAGAAGTAGAGAGAATCTACACCCAAAAGCAACTCATAGTAGAATCATAGAGAGGCAGCCTACGCTATTGCCAAACCAACACACAGTAGCCCAGACCCTGGGGTAGCTTATTCTATGCCACAATTTCATAAAATAAACTCTTCTTCCAAGTAAAGATTTGAAACAAAATCTTGAGTTTTTTCTCTGGGTTTGGGAAGAATGTGTTGTGCGCTGTTTGAAACCTCAAGCACATTTTAGAGATTCAGAACCTATAACATTTCCAAAAAGGTATAGATTTAATTTTTTTTTGTTGAAGATGGAGTCTTGCTCTGTCACCCAGCCTGGAGTGCAGTGGCGCAATCCTGACTCACTGCAACCTCCGCCTCCTGGGTTCAAGTGATTTTCCGGTCTTAGTCTCCCACAGAGCTGGGACTACAGGCGCACGCCGCCATGCCCGGCTAATGTTTTTGTATTTTTAGTAGAGACAGGGTTTTACTGTGTTGCCCAGGCTGGTTTTGAACTCCCTAGCTCAGGCAATCCACCCGCCTTGGTCTCCTGAAGGGCTAGGATTACAGGTATGAGCCACCGCGCCTGGCCAGATTTAAGTTTTAAACTGTAAGGATGCAACTAGTTTAGGGTTCAAGAGCACCAGTACAATGGAACACAAAAATAATTTAGAATTCCACCTATACTTTTTTAAGTCTAAAAATTATTTTGGCATTCTAGTAGGTAAAGAAGTTCTTAACATTGCACAATTATTTAAAATCACAACATACAATGGGATGCAGAAGCTACCCAAAACTCTGAAGAACTCACAGAAATAACAAAGTATCCTAAATATGTACAAAGCAGATCTAAGGAATCATTTGAATCACTGTTCTACAATGGAACACACATAGAATAAGTTGGAAAAGCTATGTAGAGATCAAGTTGGAAAAGCAGTCTATACCATTTCTGCTACAAAGGCAAACTGACCCTGAAGACATGTTCAGCTAGCAAATCAATAGTTGAAAAGCTTGAGATTCGATAAATGGTTTCATGCCTGGATCTTAGTACATTTTGGGGAATGATTGCCTCATTCTATGCCTCAAAAATGCTGAAAGTGGCTAGGAGTAGTGGCTCACGCCTGTAATCCCAGCACTTTGGGAGGTTGAAGTGGGCGGATCACCTGAGATCAGGAGTTTGAGACCAGCCTGGTTAACATGGCAAAACTCCGTCTCTACTATAAATTCAAAAATTAGCTGGGTGTGGTGGTGGCCACCTGTAATCCCAACTACTCAGGAGGCTGAGGCAGGAGAATTGCTTGAACTGGAGAGGCAGAAGTTGCAGTCAGCTGAGATTGCACTACTGCACTCCTGCCTGGGTGACAGAGCGAGAGTATCTCAAAAACGAACAAACAAACAAACAAACAAACAAACAAACAATGCTGAAAGCTAGCAAAAACAGAACAGAGCTCACCAGCAGGGTATGAAACTGATGAAGCCTTTTGGGAAATAACATTTAGCAACCCATTAAAAATCTTAAAAGTTCACACTCTATATCCAATGCTATAGAAATCAAATTGATGAAAGTTTTATGAGCATTTTACATAGAAATTTCTTACGATAGAGGAAAAAAAAGCAATATAAGTGTACACTAGAGGAATTTCTGAAGTATGCACTTCCAAGAGATATTTAAAGATGACATGGGTAAGCTTTCAAGATATAGCTTTAAAACAGAATACAACAATCCAGCTATAGCAGTATCTCATTTCTGTAAAAATATAGTATGTTTTCTGTGTGCGTACAGGATAACAGCAGCTATCTCTTGATTATAGAATCAAGACTACTTTCATGCAGTTAAACTTTCAGTATTTTACCAGTTTTATTTTAAAATGAGTAATGTAGGATTGTTTTCAGAGATAAAGAACAGAAATTAATGCAAAGGTAGAACATACTCAGTTTTTAGAAACCAACCTGCTGAACTTCAGCTGCTGTGCTCCTGAAGAGTTCAATGTATCTTTTACCCAACAGGTCTTTATGCTTCCTCAACGCGTTCTGTGCATATTCCTCACAAGCAAAGAGGACAAAAGCATCCCCTGTTGGCCTACCATCTGGGTAGGTGACAAAGAGGATGCCTTCCTTCCCCCCAGTAATAGGGCAATGCTGTCCAAAGAAGGCCACCACTTCTTCAGCTGTGGCTGTGAAAGGGAGCCCCCGCATGCGGACAATGACTTGATTTTCCTTGGAGAGAAACTGGGCTACCTCATTGGAAGTACCTAGGGAAAACAAATATTAGGAAGCAGGAAGAGAAATAGTTAAGACATCAACGTCACTGATTTTAAAGTGATGAAAGTCCTGCCAATGTCTTGAGTTCATAATTAAGACCCACTCCTAATGAATTCAAAATAACATCCTAGAAATCAGAATTTTCTCCTCCCAAGTTTGAAATTCTTCCTCCTTTTCATAAAACGTCCTCTTTAATTTAGGAAGCCGGCAAGACAAATTACGGGCCAATCACTAGTAAGTCATGGTGTTAAAGGCACAGGTCCTCGAGCCAGAATGCCTGGGTCCAGTCTCGGCTTTATTGCTGACTAGGGCATGATCTTGGTCAAGCTCAACTCCGTGCCTTAGTTTTCTTGTCCTGTAAGATTGACATCATAAATTATGAGAATTAAGTAGGGTAATAAATATAAAGTACTCCGCGGGTTAAAAAAAAAATCTTGCCGGGCGCAGGTGACTCAAGCCTGTAATCCCAGCACTTTGGGAGGCCGAGGCGGGTGGATCACGAGGTCAAGAGATCGAGACCATCCTGGTCAACATGGTGAAACCCCGTCTCTACTAAAAATACAAAAAACTAGCTGGGCGTGGTGGCGCGTGCCTGTAATCCCAACTACTCAGGAGGCTGAGGCAGGAGAATAGCCTGAACCCAGGAGGCGGAGGTTGCGGTGAGCCGAGATCGCGCCATTGCACTCCAGCCTGGGTAACAAGAGCGAAACTCCATCTCAAAAAAAAAAAAAAATCTTTTTCAGATTACTACCCCCACCCAACCCCTGCAAGAAAACCATCTGCAAGTAACTCAATTACTTTTTATTAATAAAGGTTCAAACACTCTTGAGTATAAATAGTATGAGGCTGGGCATGGTGGATCACGCCTACAATCCCAGGACTTTGGGAGGCTGAGGTGGGCAGATCACCTGAGGTCGGGAGTTCAAGACCAGTCTGACCAACATGGAAAAACACCATCTCTTCTAAAAATACAAAATTAGCTAGGTGTGGTGGCACATGCCTGTAATACCAGCTACTGGGGAGGCTAAGGCAGGAGAATCGCTTGAACCTGGGCAGCGGAGGTTGCAGTGAGCCGACCTTTTGCCATTGCACTCCTGCCTGGGCAAGAAGAGTGCAACTCCGTCTCAAAAAAAAAGAAAGAAAGAAAGAAAGAAAAAGAAGAGTATAATGAATATATGGGGTACCTACTTTCAATATTGGTCAACATTCTCCCCAACATAAAACATTTTGTACGGTGTTGTCATAGAGCTATGTCATATGCGTATCTTTGAAACTCATATACTAGTAGCATTTTCCCTAATAGCAAATTCTTTTTTCCTTTCTTTTTTTTTTGGACAAAGTTTCACTCCGTCTCCTAGACTGAAAAGCAGTAGCATGATCTCGGCTCGCTGCAACCTCTGCCACACAGGTTCAAGTGATTCTCCTGCCTCAGCCTTCCGGAGTAGTTGGGATTACATGCACACACCACCACGCCTGGCTGATTTTCGTATTTTTAGTAGAGATGGGGTTTCGCCATGTTGGCCAGGCCGTTCTGGAACTCTTGACCTCAAGTGATCTGCCTGCCTTGGCCTCCCAAATGCTGGGACTATAGGCACGGCACCCAGCTCCTAATAGCAAATTCTTTTCACATTGTTTACATACAATGAAATCCCAGAAACAATATAAACATTAATTGACTTTGCCATCTCCAAGTTGTAAGATGTCTATCGTGAAATGCAGGATTTAGGTAAAACCATAGCAACTCCAAATATATTTGACCCCAGACAACATCAGACATTGCTTGGGAACACTGGAAATGCTCTTAAAGTTAAAACCCTAAATTTTGAAGCCTTCAAATTTATCTAAAAGATGAAGTGGAACACAAATATACCAGAAAATTGTGTTAACAGGATGCTGTTACTGTAAGTTCTATAGCTACGAAATTTTCACCCGGGCTACAGAATGCTGGAATACAAATGTTCTCTTATATAGTGAAAGTCATCTTCAAATCATTTGGCAACAGGTGTCAGAAGGCTGTTGAAAAGGTCCACAATTCTTTGATTCAGCTATCCTGCTTTTAGAGATTTATCCTAGTAAGTGGCACATACAGAGATTTAAAAATATTCACTATAACATATATTAAAGTCAGAAGTTGAAAATATGTTCTAAATGTTCAACAGGGATATTTTATTTATTACAGACAAAATCTTGCTATGTTGCTCAGGCTATTCTCAAACATGCCAAGGCTCAAGCAATCCTCCCGAAAGCTGGAATTACAGGCATAAGCCATGTGCCCGGCTCCAACAGGGATGTTTTAAAACATTATGGTACATATAACACTATGTAGCAATTAACATTTAAGAAAATTGAGTAATGTAGGATGTTCATAATACATTAAAAAGAAATTACAAAACAGTATGAACAAGCAGTAGAAACTTACAAAGTAGATACACATGTAGAAAAAAAATCAGACAAAAAAACCACAGTGAATGTTTTATGCATCTGTTACTTTCAGGTTTTAAAGTCATTAATCACTAAATAACTGGATAAAAACCGTATATGTTCTACCCTTTCTAACCATATTACTGTAAATACTATGCATTCAAAAATACTGTGAGACCCAGAACTACCATATTTCTGGCCACTCATGTGTTAAGTTTAGAGAAAAATTAGAAGCACATATGCAACAATCCCAGGTATTGCAGCATAGTTGTTTGAAAGCAGTTTTCTGAGTCATTTCAAAAATAACCTTTCCTGGCCGGGTGCAGTGGCTCACACCTGTAATCCCAGCATTTTGGGAGGCTGAGGCAGGAGGATCCATTTGAAGTCAGGGGTTTCAGACCAGCCTGGCCAACATAGTGAAAACCTGTCTCTATTAAAAATACAAAAAGTTGGCCAGGTTCGGTAGCTCACACCTGTAATCCCAGCACTTTGGGAGGCCGAGGTGGCAGATTACCTGAAGTCAGGAGTTCAACACCAGCCTGACCAACATGGAGAAACCCCATCTTTACTAAAAATACAGAATTAGCTGGGCATGGTGGCACATGCCTGTAATCCCAGCTACTCAGGAAGCTGAGGCAGGAGAATCGCTTGAACCCAGGTGGCAGTGGTTGTGGTGAGCCAAGACTGTGCCATTGCACGCCAGACTTGGCAACAAAAGCGGAACTCCAAAAAAAAAAAAAAACCCAAAAAAGTAGCCAGGAATGGTGGCCCATACCTGTAAGCCCAGCCACTTGGGAGGCAGAGAAATAAGAATTGCTTGAGCCTAGGCCGGGCGTGGTGGCTCAAGCCTGTAATCCCAGCACTTTGGGAGGCTGAGGTGGGTGGATCACGAGGTCGAGAGATCGAGACCATCCTGGTCAACATGGTAAAACCCCGTCTCTACTAAAAATACAAAAAATTAGCTGGGCATGGTGGTGCGTGCCTGTAATCCCAGCTACTCAGGAGGCTGAGGCAGGAGAATTGCCTGAACCCAGGAGGCGGAGGTTGCGGTGAGCCAAGATCGCGCCATTGCATTCCAGCCTGGGTAACAAGAGCGAAACTCCGTCTCAAAAAAAAAAAAAAAAAAAAAAAAAAAAAAAAAAAGAATTGCTTGAGCCTGCGAGGTGGTGGTTGCAATGAGCCAAGGTTGTGCCACTGCACTCCAGTCTGGGCAACAGAACAAAACTCTATCTCCAAAAAAAAAAAAAAAAAAAAAACCCACAAAAACTATCCTTTCTGTATACATACAACTGTCAGCTTTTCATCTTCGTATAGTACTATTTTTTTCTCTTTTTGAGATGGAGTTTCACTCTTGTTACCCAGGCTGGAGTGCAATGGCACGATCTTGGCTCACCGCAACCTCCGCCTCCTGGGTTCAGGCAATTCTCCTGCCTCAGCCTCCTGATAGCTGGGATTACAGGCATGCACCATCATGCCCAGCTAATTTTTTGTATTTTTAGTAGAGACAGGGTTTCACCATGTTGACCAGGATGGTCTCGATCTCTTGACCTTGTGATCCACCCGCCTCTGCCTCCCAAAATGCTGGGATTATAGGCGTGAGCCAACGCGCCCGGCTGTATAGTACTATTTTTAATGGCTATTTAACTATAGGAGGTTGGCTCAAGCCTTAGGACAAGTGCTACACATTAAGCTCAGTGTTATTATTGGAAGCTTCCCACTCTGGGGGAAAAAAAAATCTATTTTCTATGTTCTATTAACTAAAGTCACATTATATAAAAGGCACTTACCACCAGCAATTTTAAGAAAATCTTCACCTGTTGCTTTGTAAACCTGAGAAAAGACAGAGAAGTTAATGTTTCTGGCCTTCTGTCTATGTTAATTCTCAGTCGAGATGTCCAGGTGCTCAGGTTGTGAGGACATACCTCAATATAGCGGGTCCCCATGTGATGTTTGTGCCTCTGTAGTGCAAGGTCTCGGTGCTCCTCACTTACAAACCTAACCAGAGCTTCTCCGTTCCTTCGACCCTGAGCATTCAGACAAAGTGCTGCACCTCCCCTTTGAGAGTAATAAAACAGATGGCAGGTAGAAAAAAAAATACCGTGAGGAAAAAAAATGATAGAAAATCCATTATCCCTTTGGGATTGTTAAGTAAAATAGAGATTGAAGAAAACCAACTTGGCAATATTGAGTCCTTTGAAGAATCTTGCAATATCTTGATCTGAAGACTGCCATGGTAAACCTCTCGCCCTGACTACGGTGTTATCATCAATAAGTTCCATCTTGCTGCTGTGGATGAAGCAAAACTTCAGGTTGCATGATAAGCACTAGCAAGTCAGGAACCTATTACCCTCCTGAAAGACAACCGCCCAGTTACATATGATGTATTATTTGGTGTTCAGACACACTAGCAATACTACTTGATTTTCCTTATAACCTCAAAACTTATGTGACTACAGCTTAAAGTACTGTTTAGGTGGTTCATTATAGAAAGATGGCTGCCTGTGCAGGCCCAACACAGCTAGCTCACTCAGTAAACCATCTGTCTATCAAAGCTGAGGAAGGCATGGTGACTCACACCTGTAATCTCAGCACTTTGGGAGGCTGAGGTAGGCAGATCACCTGAGGTCAGGAGTTTGAGACCAGCCTGGCCAACATGGTGAAACCTTGTCTCAACTAAAAACACATAAATTAGCTGGGCCATGGTGGTGCACACTTGTAATCCCAGTTACTCGGGTGGCTGAGGCAGGAGAATCGCTTGAAGTTGGGACGTGGAGGCTGCAGTGAGCCAAGATTGCACCACTGCACTACAGTCCAGGCAACATTTCCTTAGCATTTTTTTTTTTTTGAGACTCCATCTCCAAAAAAAAATGCTGAGGAAATGTTTGCTTGGCCCCCTCATGTCCTGAAAGTTCCTAGAACCCTAAAAGATAGGTTTGAATTCACTCTCGAATCTAGCCAGTATACACGTGGGGTTTAAATCTAGTTTAGCAGCCAAATTTAGGATCAGAATAAAGCTGACAACCCACATCAGGAATGTGTGTGTATGGTAGGATGTCTGCCCTTAAAATATCCCCCAGATCAAACCAGGGAGCCATCCCAGAAAATGACCAGAAATGCCTGGGAGTGTCCACACCTTAATGACTCATTTGCAAATCACCTATGATATATTTTGATACCTCTTAAAGTCTTATCCCTCCCATGTCCACATTTCCAGTTCTCCTAGGACATTTTCTTAATGAGTCACTCTCTTCATAACTAAATAGGCCTCAGAGTCTCTTTCTATGGGCAAAGCTGTCAGGAGTTTCTATTCACTTCAGACACCAGGCAAACACTCAATTCATTAAAGTGATTTACAAACAAACAGGTCTACTTGTGATCACTAATGGATACCACTTCATACTTCTCCCCAACTTTTGCCTTTGCTTTAAAGAAGAAACCTACATAGCCAAGCACGGTGGCTCACACCTGTTATCCCAGCACTTTGGGAGGTTGAGGTGGGCAGATCGCATGAGGCCAGGAGTTAGAGACCAGCCTGGTCAACATGGCAAAACCCTATTTCTACTAAAAATACAAAACTTAGCCAGGTGTGGTGGTGCCACATCTGTCAGCTACTGGGGAGGCTGAGGCACAAGAATCGCTTGAACCCGGGGGGTAGAAGTTGCAGTGAGCCGAGATCACATTGTGACATTCCAGCCTGGGCAACAGAATAAGACTGTCTCAAAAATAAATAAACATGTACTTATAGAACATACATAAAATTATCTCAGTAAAAACTGTGAACTCTATTAGAGCCTACAATTTCTCGTTTGGAAGTGTTCCAAGTACAAGACTGGATAGTTTTGCAGAGACCAAATTAATAATCACGGATGTGAGCATATAATATGCTTGAGGTCAGTGTGGCTAAAGATGCCAATAAGCCATTAGATTTTAATCCCAATACCCAAGCTTGAAGTAATACGGCTTTCTTTTGTAGATGACCTAATAGCAAGAAAGGATAGCTAAAAGGATTAGTAAAGTTTCTAAAATATAACAAGAATTAAGTGACACAATAGGAACAAAAACAAGTTGAAAAGCTCAAATCAACAGTACTCGAGCACTTACCAAGTCCCACTTTCAAATTTGTAATTCACTCTCTCTGGGTCTGAAAACCTGTGATCTAAAAATGAGAACATACAAGTCACTGTTTTAGCCATTAGGGAGACAAAGCTGCAGGAGGAACTTTGAGTATAGGTAAGAGAAAAATAGTGCAAATTCTAGGACTGCACTGATATAAAAGCAATACTTACTATAAGGCTCTGAAATCATTGCTAAAATTATATTCCCCATATCTTCAACTTGAGAGGCTCCGTATCGAGAGACTGAACTATTCTTCCCAAAATTTAAATCTGTGAGATTAAGTTAAGGAAACACTTGGGAAAGATAAAATCAGGTTACTTCTAAACCAAAGTTAAACTTATGCCAAGCCAAGGGGGAAAATGGATCTAGTCAAGCCTCCTTTAGAAATCTTAGAATGGCTGCCTCCCATTAGTCAGGGCATCATTCAACTTAGTCTCCAACTGCCCTTTTGGGTAAAAGAGCCAAATCAATCCAGTCCCAAGATATTACCAGGAATACAACTTTTGTTTACCGAGTGGCAGCAAATGCATAAACACTGAGCATTTAATTTCAATTCAGAAAGTATGCAACAAATTGGAATCTTTCATTCTTTGAATCTTTACAGCACACACAAGGCAATGACCATGCCAACTTAAAGATAGGATGACATTATCAACACTGCAAGATATTAAATGGCTTTTTTGGCCTAATGTTTGAAATGGACACCACAGATTATTGATGTGACATTACTGCCACAATGCCACTTTTGCTTAGAACGTCCATTCTAGGACACTTTTGGAGTCCTACAGGATAACCCACATTTGATGACAGCAAATGCTAGTTCTAGAGAGCAAATTTTGGAAACAGTTCAAGCACTCAAAGGCAACACAGGCCTATGTGGTTCTTTACCAAAAGTATACTCTTCGAAACACAGCTCAAACTTGGTTTGAGGGCGAAACCAGGAATTCACATGAAGTTTTATGAATCTCTCTTAAATAAGGATGTATTTCCATCAAATAGAGGAATACCTTGAAATTATGGTGGGCTTGGTTCTAGACCATGGCATTATAGTGAATATATAATAAAGCAAGTCACACAATTTTGGGGGTTTCCCACTACATATAAAAGTTATGCTTAGACTATACTGTATTCTATTAAGTATTCAGACAAGATCAGGAGCATTCAGGGTGGTACGGCTGTAGACTCTGTTAAGTATTCAACAGCATTATGTCTTTTAAAAAAAAAAACGTACATGCCTTAATTCAAAAATACTTTGTTGCAGATGGGCACAGTGGCTCATGCCTGTAATCTGAGCACTTTGGGAGTCCAAGGCAGCAGGATCACTTGAAGCCACAAGTTTGAGACCAAGCTTGGCCAATATGATAAAACCCTGGCTCTACTAAAAATACAAAAATAAGCCAGGCATGGTTGTGCATGCCTGTAATCCCAGCTACTCAGGAGGCTGAAGCAAGAGAATCTCTTGAACCCAGAGGTTGCAATGAGTCTGAGATCATGCCACTATACTCCAGCCTAGGCAAAAGCTAGACTGTCTCCCCCCCCAAAAAAAAACTTTCTGGCTAAAACGTATTAGTCACCTGAGCGTTTTGCTGGTAGAGGATCATACTTGATGCTAATGGCTGCTGATGGATCAGGATGATGGTTGTTAAACATTAGGGTAGCTGTGTCAATTTCTGAAAATAAGACAGCAACAAAGTTTGCCACAGCAACTGACTCTTCCTTTCATGAAAGATTCCTTGGTAGCGTGTGATGCTGTTTGAGGGCTCGGGCAGAGTTTACTTAGTGTAATTCTTTTTTTTTTTTCTGAGACAGAGTATCGCTCCGTCACCCAGGCTGGAGTGCAGTGGCGTGATCTCAGCTCACTGCAAACTCCTGCCTCAGCCTCCTGAGTAGCTGGGATTACAGGCATGTGCCACCATACCCAGCTAATTTTGATTTCTGTTGGTTTTTATTATTTTTTTTTAATAGAGACAGGGTTTCACCATGTTGGCCAGGCTGGTCTCAAACTCCTGACCTCAAGTGATCTACCCACATTGGCCTTCCAAAATGCTGGGATTACAGGCATGAACCACTGCGCCCGGGAAATTTAGAGTAATTCTTCAGAACACTAGGATTTTTAGAATGGTTAATGAGCAGTGGCTTCAACTTAAAGTCACCACCTACATTAGCCTATAACAAGAGATCAGCCTTTGAAGCAAAGCATTGATTTATCCTGTCTAGCTATATTAGTCCAGGATGGCATCATCTTCTAACAGAAGGCTGTTTCCAGTATGCTGAAAATCTGTTTAATGTAGCCACCTTCATCCATTAGCTAGATCTCCGGGTAACTCACCGCAACTTCTCCATAAGCACTTCCTGCTTCACTTTGAATTATTATGTCATAGAGATGACTTCATTCCTTGAATCTCATGAACCAACCTCTGCTAGCTTTTCTTCTGTACCTTCCTCACTTCTCTCAGCCTTCATAGAACTGAAGAGACTTAGGGCCTCGCTCTAGATTGTGCTTCTGCTTAAGGCAATGTTGTCGCTGCTTTGATGTACCCAGGCCACTCAAACTTTCTCCATATTGCAGCAATAAGTATATTCCACTGCTTTCCTCTCTCGTATAAATGACAAGTGGTACCCAGCCTTCTCATCTTTGCTCAGGTAACACCCTATGTTTTGCTTTCTTATCATTCATGTATTCACATTAGAATATTCAAGCAATTTTCCTTTGCACAACTTGGCAAATCATTGGGTGCAAAAGGCCTGGCTTTTGGCCTAACTTAGCTTTTGACATGCCTTCCTAAGCTTGGTCATGTCTAGCGTTTGATTTAAAGTAAGAGATATATAACTCTTACTTTCACTTGAATGCTTAGATGCTATTGTAGGGTTATTAAATGGGTTAATTTCAGGGAATAGGGAGTCCCAAACAAAGGGAGAGAGATGGGGTAACCACCAGTTGGCGGAGCAGCCAGAATACACACAGCATTGACTGATTAAGTTTGCCATCGGGTATGGGCCTGGTTTATGGTGACCCAAAACAATTAAACAGTAACAAAGACCACTGACTACAGATTGCCACAACAGAATAATAATGAAAAAGTCTGAAATGTGACACAGAGACGAGTACGCACATGTTGTTGGCAAAATGGTGTTAATAGACTTGCTGAATGTGGAAATGCTACAGATCTTTCGTTTTTTTTTTAAACAAAACAAAACTGGCCAGACATGGTGGCTCATGCCTGTGATCCCAGCACTTCAGGGAGGCCAAGGTGAAAGGAGCACTTGAACCCAGGAGTTTGAGATGAGCCTGAGAAACATAGCGAGTCCCCATCTCTACAAAATAAAAATTTAGCCTGTCATTGCAGCTACCCAGGAGGCTGAGGAAGGAGGACTGCTTGAGCCCGGGAGGTTGAGGAGCACACCACTGCACTCTAGCCTGGGTGACAGAGCAAGGTCCCGTTTCAAAAATAAAAATAAAAAAAGACAAAATGAAACAACTGTGAAGCACGATAAAGTGAAGCACACTAAAACAAGGAGAGCCCTGATGTGGCCCACATAACCTCATACTGACCTCCTAGCCCTTTATAGCAAAAGGTTATTAACCTCTGACCTATTACAGAAGAATGGAGATTGCAAAAAGATGGCCAAATACAAAGGATGCCACAGGAATGTCTGTAACCGATCTCAGAATATAGGAAAAATTTAAATTTGAAAGAATAGGAGCATTCAAATTAAGCGTTCCTGTCATCTATTAATGGCAGAATTACCTAGCCTTTTCAACACTGTTCAGGTACCAACCCATAAGAAAAGCACTCTTAACTTAATCCCCTAACCAAAATGGGCCATGAGTGACCCACCACAACTGTTCTAGGTCACAACCATCAATTTAAGAATTCATTAGATACTATTCCTATGTTAGGCTATCTTCTTGACGGTCTTAACCTTTCTCAGGTGTAGGCCCCTATCTTCCTCTGATCTCTTTCCATCTGTCACCGTCTCTACAGCTTCCAAGAATCTACTGACTTAAATGGTGGCGTTCAGAGGACACCATTTTGTGCCAATCACTCCCTATTTCTTTCAATTCTCATAATAACCCTGCCAGATAGATTATAGCAAAACCAGACAGTGGTAGAAACTAGGATTTAGTGAGGCTGGGCACGGCAGCTCAGGCCTGTAATCCCACCACTTTGGGAGGCCGAGACAGGTGGATCACTTGGACGTCAGGAGTTCCAGATCAGCCTAGTTAACATGGTGAAACCCTGTTTCTAATAAAAATACAAAAATTAGCCGAATGTGGTGGCAGGTACCTGTAATCCCAGCTACTCAGGAGGCTGATGCACAAGAATTGCTTGAACCTGGGAGGCAGAGGTTGCAGTGACCTGAGACTGTGTCCACTGCACTCCAGCCTGGGTGACAGAGCAAGACTCCATCTCAAAAAAACAAAACACTGAGATTTAGTGATGTTCAGTAGCTCACTCAGTCACCTGGCTGATAGGTAATAGAGGTGGGATTAGATGACAGCTCTGATTTAACTACTGAGCAGTACTTTGTGAGAAGCTTTAAAATTCATAGATAAAAGTCAACTGAAGACGACAGAGATCAAAAGTAAAAATGTAAAGTATTCCTGCCTGGTTAAAAATAGATTTGCATCTGAAGAATCATTTTAATAAACTCTACTTTTTAACTAAGAATATGTTCTTGACATTTGGCTACCTTGGTGCCACACAACACGTCCCAACATGTCTCCCTTTGAGCCGTCACACACCAGGATCAGCAGCACTAAGCTGCTAATAACTTGTAAAAGTCACCCAACCTCCTGCATGCCCAAACCATCTACAGAGAGAGAGAGAGAGAGAGAGAGAGAGAGAGAGACAGACAGACAGACAGACAGACAGACACACACACACACCCTGCACCTCAATAGGCCAGTTTCTTCTATCTATAATCCTTAGCATCATTGAAAAGGAGTAATAGAAGAATGAGGAAAAAGTTTTAGTACCCATTATTTCCCCTGTCAATGTATAAGTATATATTAACTTGCTCCACAGTCTGATCTTGAGGGAAGGAAAGATGAGTCTGTGCCTCCTGATTTATGGCTCCTTGTGCAACTTACTCATTCTGCCCTTGAGGCAGCCGCAAGAGTACAAACAGGCTCAGCCAGCTTTACAAATTAGAAATGCCTCAAGGAAGTGAGGAAGGGTACAGGTAGAGGCAGTGGGAACAAAACTCATCATTTCAGGCACCAATTGAGCAAGTACTACTTTACATGCAACTTAGAGGAGTCTAG